ACCTAACCCTGAACCTAACCCTGAACCTAACCCTAACCCTAACCCTAGCCCTAAACCTAACCCTAACCCTAACCCTAACCCTGAACCTAACCCTGAACCTAACCGTAAACCTAACCCTAAACCTAACCCTGAACCTAACCCTGAACCTAACCCTAACCCTAACCCTTACCCTTACCTTAACCGTAATGGCGCTTCTGTTGGCGTTCTTTTATCAATGCGCTTCTGTGCTCATTCGCCGGCGCGCTGTCGACATCGCGGTTTTATCGCCGCGGTTTTGTTGGCGCGCTGTTGTCGGGCGCGCATTTGTTGGGTCACGCTTTATAGAACAGGTTCCTACAGCTATATATGAAAGAAAGCTATTATTATGTAGCTGTAAATACATACAAAATATATATTAAAATTCTATCTACATTTTCTCTGTTATATATTTTTCCCATTTGGGAACAAGTTGGTTGAACTTTATCTCCTGACCCCTTGCAAAACTTTTATAAAGTAATGATTTTTTTCAATCGAAACGGATTCCAAACTTTGTACAGTCCCACTTTTACCCCCTAATTAATTTTCACAGACATGTTAAAAAATAAAGGAAAAAGTAGTTGTGGGAAATAACGCTTTGAATCTCTAAAGTGGTCTTTAACCACTTGTTTCATGATATCTAAGGAAATAGTAGAAACATACATTTGATACTTTAGAGTACAATACATTATAAAAAGGATAATCTGATTGTTAAGTTTGGTAGGCTCCAGGCCCCTGAAACAGGTAAGTCCTGCTTTCTTACTTGGATGGGTCTGTGACAAGCATGATGGCTTTCACAGCATGGATCACTCATCTTGACAGTGACCAAGCCCAGTCACATTGCTTTGACACACCCAAGTTCTTCAAGAGTTAATCAGTGCTATGACAGTGGACCTAACCATACAACATTCTGTTCTGATGACTGATCTCTCATATACATTGCTTGCCATTCTATGCAATGTTTCCTGTCAAGTCAGTGGGAAAGGAAATCTGACACCATCTTTAGATCTGACAACATTTTTACTGCTTTTCTTGACTTGATGCTCAGCAGAAGAGATGGAATTACACAACCACTATGTTTATTTATCGATTCTCTTTCTCTCTCGCTGTCTCTCTGTCTCTCTCTGCGTCTATCTCTCTCTCCTTCCCTCCCTCTCTTATCTTTCATTCTGGAAATCCAGACAACATCCACAATATTACCTCTTCCCACTTGTCTTCAAGAACTCAGTGAGAGAGGTTGATCTGAAAGAGAGTGATTGGCACATGTTAGCTAGTGAGAGCAAATCTCCCCAATACCAGTACTAGCTTTTAACTAGTATCTCTCTCTCTCTCTCTCCCTCCCTCTCTCTCTCTCTCTCTCTCTCTCTCACACACACACACACACACACACACCCTCCAGCTATGTAAAATGTATTGTCTACTTGTGGTGGCACAGGAATAAGTGAATGAAAAGCTTCTTTATTCACATTCTTGAAAATAAACCACTCAGCTATACCGTAAGCTTCAACAATAATCGCTTTCAATTGCAGGCTGATGGTATACTTACTCCTTTCAACACAGAAGAAGCACTTAAAAGTCTCTACCTCATAGATTTCAGATGCGTTTCCCCCCCTCTAAATCGATGTTTCTCGAACTTGGAAACTTGTAGAGTGTGGAGTGCAACTTACAGAATTTCTCAGAATGCTTGCTAGGGAATTCTGAGAGTTGAGGTCCATACATTTTTTAAGTGGCTGAAGTTGGGAAACACTGCCCTAAATGAAAGCTATGGAATTTCCACTTGAGGTCACCTTAAGATTACTGTGATATGTTAACTGTATTGCAAAATTGAGCAAAGGCCTTTGGGGAAAAGAGGGGGCCAACCGTTTTAAGGAGTGAAATGAATGTCCTATAGTTTTGGAAGACTTAAGCAATCCATTTTGTT